AAGAAAAACAGGGTTTTTAAAAACCCTTCAGGAATGCTGAGGACCTCAAGAGGAAGAGGAAAGTTAGAATGTAAATAAAAAAAGCTAATTTCATCTGAGATTTGCAAAATGGATGCCTACAGGTAACAGCCTATCATGATATTACATAACTATCATTGTGTTTAGAAATATGCATATGGTCCCTCCCCCCCCTTTTTTTTTTTTTTTTTTTTGTCTCCCCTTGGATGATACTGGAATTTGACTCCCTGGTCCTATGAAGGGTCTGAGGTTAGATTAGCAACCATTTTGGAAGAATTCAGCCTAGCTGCATAGGAAAATCATATGAAAAGGACAAAAGTTGTGCTGTGCTAAAGATCTTTTTCTTCATAAAGAGACATGTAAAGTTAAATAAATAAATAAATAAATACTTCAACATTAAAAGATTCAGGAAACAGTGAATCTAAAATATAGAGCTGCAATTATAATTATTTGTTTACTCAAATTACAAAGACAAGCATTAGAGAACTTCATGTTAGTCAGATATGACACTCTGAAGTTTTTAAAAAGTTACCAAAATATTCTCAACACAATTACCTCCCCCACGTATATACATGGCCTTCATAATTAAATAAATACATATGTGTGTGTGTGTGTGTGCATGTACTCATCCACCCAGTAATTAAATGACTGTGTAATTTCTAAATTACATCTAAACAAAAGGTGTTAGGTCAGGGAAGGCGTCACTTTCCCGAGTCTACAAAGAAAATAAATATCAAAAATAAAAGGATAACCTAAAAATTTCTTCCATAGTGGATTCTCCTGTACAGCATCTGCTCAATGCACTTTCCAGTCCTATGTATCCAGGTATTGCATTACCTGCAGTAAAACCTCAATATTAACAGCTTCTCATACCTTGATACCATTAGCAGAACCTTATCGAAAGTTTAAGCCACATCTTCTGTTGCTGCTGTTACTACAAACCATTATGTTTAAACATTGCATCTATGCTAGTATAGAGCATAGATGTAGTTTTAAGCATAATGTTTAGTAGCGAACAGCAAGAGAAGACCTGGCTTAAATGCTTGAAACCATCAGATGCCACTAATCATAGTTACGCGTGGTTTTTGCTGTTGTTGTTGTTTCATTGTATTTTGCAGAAAGCTTTGTTTATCCTTTTCCCCCAAGTGAGTCAGCATAAATAGGAGGAATTTCCATAGCATGGGAATCACTGGCTATGAAGCAGACGCAAAC